GAGAGGGGATATGTTTCCAGAATACACTGACAAACAACTACTGGACATTGTGAGGAATATTGTCGAGAAATCTAAGAAGTCTTTAAGGTAAATATTTAATCGTTTTTATTATAAAAATAATTAAAACTTTAGACAATTAATTTTTATTAATAGTTGAGAATTAACCAATAATTTCCATAATAAATAAATGTAAAATAAATGTAAAAAAGCAAGCCATAACAGCAGCCCCAACAACAATAGAAGGAAAGGTATATTATTGTTTTCATTAACTTAAGGTCAAGGATAAGTATTAGACGAATGCAGACAGACGGGCAGGCTATTAAGCCAAAGGAAAGGTAAAGGTCCACACGGGGTTAGGGCTCCGCGAGCCGTGGACTGGGCAACGGGTGAAGGCAATTAATATAATGTTATACAAAATGTTGATCATTTTTAACATTATATACTTGCTCTCAGTCGGCGAACAACCCCATTTTTTTTTCAAGTAAAAAAAATATATTCACATCTTATAATTTTTTCTGATACTGCAAGGGCCTTCGAACCACACATATGCCTATAAGTGGTCTTATACTCTATCCAATCTGACAAAAGTTCAGATCTACTTATTTCTGTTATGTAGATCTGAAAACGACCATATATGTTTTGCCTTCTTTATAATTCGGATTTCCCGAGAAAGCTATTTCTAAGCCATGCAATCAAACCGGTTTTAACATAGGCATTAGAAGAAGTATCAAATTTCTGTTATACGTGAAAGTTAAACAAATTATTTATTTTTTGTTAGAAAAAAAAATGTTTGAGGTAATTTTCAACATATTACTCAGTTTTAAATTGGCAAGATTGTTTTGCCAGTTTACCTCTCGGCTATATGGACAACGCCATGTTTTTTCTCGAAATCATGAAATTTACCTACTCCCAAGGTTAAAATTAGAAACCACATTGCTTTCAAAATTATGAAAGCTCGACGATTATTAGCTGCGTGAATAGTCACCAGAAATACTTTCGTATATGGTCACGTTCAGATCTAAAAGCGGAGATTGATACTCTAGCAGACATTCCTACCTACACAACCATGTATGATACAGGTGAATACTTAGCCTGTGATGCTCGAACCAGGTCGTAAATCCATCAAATATCCAAAAATATAAGTTCGAACCTCGACCACTCAACTTATGACTTGCTTAGACCCCTATGAACCACACACATATCTATGTGGTATCATGCTTGAGCACACATCCAATCCTACGCAACTATGTATAATGCAGTTGTATATTTGGCCTTTGGGGTTAGAACCAGGTCGCAAATCCATCAAATATCACAATTGTGATAAAATATTTTGCCTAGGCACCTAAGAACCACACACATACCTATAAGTGGTCTCATTCTTTAGCACACATTCATTACTATAGTTGTGATAAAACATAAGTTCAAACCTCGACTACACACCTTAAATGACTTGCTTAGACCCATATATACAAAAAAGTGGTATCATTCTTAATCAGACACCCATACCTACCCAACCATGTATGCTTTAGATATAAGCCTGGCCTATGGGCTCTAACCGGGCCGTTATTTCATTAAGATATACGAAAAATCGTGATAAATCATGAGTTCAAACAATCAATACTCACCTTGTATGACTTGCATAGACTCTTATGAACCACACATACGTGGTCTCATTCTGTAGCAGACACCCATACCTCCCCAGCTATGCTTGAGGTATTAAATAGATAAATACAGAATCCCTAAAGAAAGTCCAACACGGCAGAATTGAAAATGTTGCAGGCTCGGTTTGATTTAGCCTGTTCATGGACGGTACTGGACCTAGCCTGAGGGGCTCAAACCAGACCGTTAATCCTTCTAATATACCAAAAATTGTGAATTCTTGCACGACTTGCTCAGAGCCCCCTACAAACAATATACATATACATATAAGTGGTATCATACTTAAGCAGAGACTCATACTTTTACAACCATTATTTTGCGGGTATATCACACCTAAATTCGATTAAATTAAAAAACACATACACACATAAGCATACCTCACTGTTCACTTGTTTTTTCTTTTATTATGTGGAGCTAAGGCCGTAACTTAGAGTGGCGGCATGGCCGAGTTGTTAACGCTTCGGACTAGTAATCTTATGATCGCTAGCCTCATGGGTTCAAACCCTGACAGGGGCAAGTCGTTGTTCCTTTGAGCAAGAACCTTTACACTCATTGCTCAGTACTGGTTGGTTCCAGGAACGGATTCGAAAGAGTGTTTATAAGCTAAAATAAATGTTTATAAACTAAACTAAATTCTGTATAAACCAATTAAGGCCCGTAACTAAGGTTTACAAATTAGTTTATCTCCCCTCGTAAGATAATATAGTAATTATATAATATTTTATAAAAATTTAGGATAGAGTTGGACCGGAAGGTGATAATCAGCCCGAAATATGAATAATGAATTTCAGGGCCGGTTTTTACTATCATGATTATTATAATTAATGATTATTGCTATCCAGCCTGTCTGTGACCTGTATTAATGTATTTATGTACAGTACAGTAACTTTTGTTCTGGTCCTTCGGGATCATTGATGCAAGCACTTTTGTTGAGAATTGAGTACCTCTCAAGCCGGTGCCCCTCGTGTACAGACTCAATCCAACCAAGTTTGCAATTCTTTTGTAATTTTGTTGTGATTTATACTTCCGAGGGATCACTTTGTTTCCAGATTTTATACTTCATATACTGTGTGGCAGCTGTAAAAAATCCCCCATTGACTTCACTTCAGTTCAATGTTATTTTTCTGGTCCTTCGGGATCATTGATGTCAGCACTATTAAGTGTTGAGAATTGAGTACCGCTCAAGCCGGTGCTAGGTGGCCTGAGGGATTTTGCACGTATTCATTTTTCCTCACATTCTTCATATGTACAGACTCAATCAACCTGAATCTGCAATTATCTTGTAATTTTGTTGTGATTAATGCTGACAAAGAATCATTTTGTTTCCAGATTTTTTTTCTAAAGAGTTGTTTCCCTTCTATGTGTATAATCAAGAAGCACGTTTTATTTTATCGGAATGAAATATCTCGTATTTAATTCTTCCAATTGCAATAAAACTGTGTTAAGTTCTCATCATAAAATCAAGCGATTCGTGCTTGAAACCTACTTTCACTTTTTTGAGCTAGCTGTTTTGTTGACATAAAATGTGACGTCATTGTTTCATTTTTGTGCACGTACTCGTGCTCAACGGGCCGATTATGATTATCAGTTCTCGTCCCCGGGCCTTAAACTTATAATCAGTCAAGCGACACTCATAATCAGTTGAAATCATAGGCATCTTTGTTACTATATATAGTCACAAGTGTATTAATGCATATTCTAACACGACCCGCAATTTTCCCCCATTGAACATAGAAGAACCTAAAGTATGTGTTATTATGCAATAAAATTACAGTTGACGTTTTATATCTAGACGTAATCATTATATACGTGACGTAACCACTATTATAGCATAAAATCGGCTATTTTCCCCTATTTTGCCCATGTTATATCGGGACCAAATCCATGTGTTAACATAGTCTTGCGCTCTTGTTATAGCCCGATTTCACCTATGCACAATACATACATGGCCCAGTAAACAAACAAAAAATTGACGATTTGGCCTGCTTGCCAAAGAGTCATGCGCTCTTGTTATATATTGAAATTATATTGATTCGAGGGCCCCAATCACATAACGACGTGCAGCATTCAAGTAACTATGCCGGAAATACGGCGTATATACATCGCTGCTAATCTTGGTTGTCGCCCTTTCTAAGAAACGGACAGTTGTCAATGTAAACAAATACAGTACATGTACCTGTCATTCAGTTTAACTCTCCGATTAACTTACAAAACTAGATAACACAAAATGAATATAACAAAATGTTGTTTTATTTATGTTAATGTTGATAAATGCTCTTTATTCTTCTTTGAGAGAATAATGCTTAGTGCCTGATTGTTTTTTATAAACTTGTTTGCTTGAAAAAAAAAAAACGATTCTGATGTCACTGATCTTTTTTCTACCGTCAATCTGAAATCATTCTAAGAATTTCTGAGGGTCATGGTTTGTCTTGGGAAGAGGGTAGAGTAATGTAACGTTGTTGTTTTCTTGAGATAATAAATCTCTAATGTCAAGCTTTGTTAAATCATTTAAAATTCAAAATTTCGTTCGGTTCTGAGAATTTTCCAAGTTGTTAGCCCCGGAAAAATAAAACGCTTACGTAAAACATGTAGAATTGGATAAATACCGTCCAAGCACAAGAATCAATGTAATTGTGTTTTGTATTAACTATACATCACGAATCTGTTTTAAAATGTTATGCTTTAATAGCGTCAACGCACGTTTATTTCGTGTTATAAAGTCTGCAGAGTCACTGAGAACGGTTGGAGCCCTCGCCCGGTACACCAACCGTTCCTCGGGACGCTGCAGACGTTATAACACGGAAAAACGTGCGTTAACCCTATAAAAATGTGATACTAAGTACGGAAACAAATCAGGCGCAATAAAGGTTAATATCAGTTACGGCATCATTTATTTTGTTGATGTCGTGTTAGAATCGAAAAAATATAATATATCCAAAATCGGTGATTTTATCGCTTGATAAGATCACTGTTTGTAGTTCGGATGCGAGGAATTATATCACGAGGGCGTATAAAATCACTGTTTGGGATACGTTGTTTCTTATATAACATGCCCGCCTATCGACCCATTGTTATAGGAGATGTTACCAGAAACAAACAGGGTAGGGTTTGTAGAAAATTTTAGGCACAGTAACAGTGGATCGAACATATAATACGACTTTATTTCCTAAACAATTTTGCCACTGTACAACTTCGCCCACTCAGCACTGTTCACTTATATGTTATGTATAAGATTAAGTAAACAAAAATCTGACAGAAACTTCCTGTTTAGTTGTATGATTTATTTGTTAAGATATAAGCGGTGTTTTATCGTGAATTGTAACATTCCTTTCGTGGTGTGTGAACTTTTTTGATAACATATTTCAATCTGATAAATTGACAAAACTTAATCGAATCAGATGACATCTTTGTATTAGTTTGCTCTTAAAGCTATTTCAAAAATTATAAGTGCTAGATTAACCGGTATATCTCCCCACTTGTCGTATTCACAAGGATCATTACAATACTGATTGGACCTAGAGAATTTGCAAGCATAATCAAATCAAATACGAAGTGGGATTAATAATATCGAATAAAAATACCTTAATTATGTTGAAACATAAAACGCGTGAAGTAAATAAGACGGAATAAATATTGTGCCGAGACAAAAGTGTTTTGGTCATGGCAACATCAACATGCGATGACTCCGCTTCAGATCAGGTTTTTATTTTATTATTATTTTTTTTATTTTGTTAAAATTTCTTTTTCTGTTTCAGAATTATTTACAGAAATGTTTCGATTTTACTAAATACATATGCTAGCGTTATTAATTTGATATTCTTTCTTTGAATAATTATTACAAATTGTAAGTGGAAAAATGATAATAATGTTTGTTGATAATGTATAGAGACATTTGTTTTCATGGGCAACCAAATTTAAACCAAGTTTGCTAATTATACATATATGGTTTATCGGCTGTTTTTGTTGGGCAAATACGATCAGAGATTATGTATGTGGACCATAAGGCCGGACTAAAAGTAAACAATATCATGTTATAGTAATAGTATATGAAAATCGTTAGTTACGAGGATATGACACAGGCCATGGCGTCATCAAGGGATGTTTCTGCTAAATATATGTCGAGTCCGAGACGATTTGTTTTGCAGAACCTTCCCAAGATGTCGTTCCAGGCCAATATTATAACCCCGATTTCATATACTATAACTGTTTTACCGTAATACCATTTTTTTCTTCATCAGACTACCATAAGTTCTAGTCCCTCCCCCATTGTATTAGACTTTAGAACCAGCTTCCAAAGAACATTGCCACCCTGTCCGATCTTGACCAATTCAAACAGGCAGTTGTCCTTTCAAATTTTTACTTTCTCTCTCACCATTTACTTACACATCCGGCGTGCATTATTCCTGCCTATAGAACTCGCGAGAGGGGTTTGCGGTATTCAGAGAACCATACAGAAATCTGGTATAACTGGAATAAATATGATATTGTGACATGCCAGGGTTGTCTCCCTTCTAATAAACTGCATTAATGAAATACAATATTTCGTACAAGTACAATACAAATTTTGCGGCAATGCAGCAATTGAGAAGCTCCGCGCAAAAAAATGCGCTCATTACAGATACCTTACCAAATCATTCCTACGCACAGGTCATGTTCTATTAAGATAAAGTTTTATTGTACATTATTCCGGATGTTTTGTAAATCGTGTTTTGCATAATTTAACTTATCGTACGCACTGAAATAGCGGCCAGATATCAAATTAAAACAAAATGCTTTCACTGATATCTACCTTAAGAAAGTAATTTCAATACAAACGGCTTTCAAGACATATGTAATTTTGTTGTGATTAATGCTTCCGAGGGATCACTTTGTTTCCAGATTTTTGTAAATGTAATGTGACATGACAGTAGTGCAACATTGTTCTATTTGTGTCACTACTGTAGTTAGTAATATTAGATGATAAAAAATATCAAAGCATGTACATTTTCTTTTTCACCAATAATGCTACTCATTTTTTACAAAATCTAATTTACAACTAATCATGGTAAGAAATATAAAAATCCATATGTAAATAAGCCAAAACAAAACTTTTCACCGACTTTAAAAATATATCCTTAATGTTCATGTGTCGCGGCAAATTGTATACCATGATATAACCAGAGAAATAGATAACAGAGATAGGCAACTTCCTAGCCAGTTAAAATATCACGCGTGCTTGCTAAATCTAACACTTGTAGCAAGTCAAACGTATTTACCAGATATCAATATCAGTAAAATAATACTTTTTCTGAAAGCTTATGCATTGTCTATGGCTGCAGGTAAAAACATTTACAGTTCCCATTTAAATAAATTATACATCAATTTTTAAAGAGATCTACTCATTAATTTTTTGTTACCAAACTATTCATATGACGAAAAAACTGGTTCAGTGGGTATATTCTGCTGTGTTTTTCTAAGTGAAAGCAAGGAAAGTTACCAATATTTTAACATACAACAATAGATTAAAGATTTAACTTTCAAAGTGTGTATAATATAAAGGATCAAATGTACATCCATTAAGTTTTATTTGCTACAAAATGCCTAATTTTCACTTTTTTAATAGGCATGAATGATATTTCAATGGAGTATATAGGAGCTGCTTATCTCTGATATCTACATCTCTGATATTATAACAAGAAAAGCATTGATGCAAATCATTAAAGAGCGTCCAAGCAAGAAATGCAGCAAATGACGATATACTAGTAGACATCTGATGACCAGATATTCTTATAAGTTTGTCAATGGTTAGTTGGGGTATATAATAGATAAATTGGCGGACGAAAGACATTGTTCATCATGAACTTTGGTAGGCTTGCTAGAGATTAGAATATTAAATGTATTTTCTTAGGAACAAAACAGTAGTCAAAATGAAAAAAGTCTTTTTTATTATAATAATTGTAACAATATACAAACAGTATATAAAAATAGTGACAAATGGGACTATTATATTATAGTGATCTTATATGCATTTTTTATGTCAAATTTAAAGAAAATGTTTTCTATTTATACCTGAAACTTAAGATACAGTAGATATATTTCAAGTCCCATGTAAATACTTGAATAAGAACACACACAGGAATGAAAAATTTGGGATCAATTTCAAAAAGATCAAATTCAGGAGTTTTTGTTATAAACGTTATATGGTGAAATATTATTTATTGATATTATGGAAGACTGTTACCTGAATATATGTTCGTGGAATCAAAGACATAAAAGCTACTTGACATTGGTGATAAATAAAGGACTATTGTTAATTGATTTCTTGGGATACAAACAACTATTTTGTTGAATTGCTTCAAAATCCTCGTCTGATCCACTAGTGTGTCATATTCTGGATGCAAGAAAGTCCACGTCAGGCCGTTAAAATAATTTTTTATATTTTCTCAGATGACCAGTAGCATTTCGACAATAACTCAACCCATCCCTCGAAAAACCGAGGCATTCTTATATACATTGTTTAATACATGCATGAAAAAGTGGAAGAAGCTATCACATGCTATTACAACATTACACCAGGTGTACACTATGCATAAAAAGTAATAGAATATTAATTTGACTGATCTAATATAGAACAGTACATACACATTCAGTATCATCTAGCTTTAATGATGGTCATTTAAGAATATCCAAGATCATTTTTGACGTACTTTCATACCCTGTGTTTTTTCCATGGATGGGCAGGTTTTGTACAATCATGATATACATGTATGTGCAAAATGACATACATACTACATACAGATATGTGCAGACGCCACCAACACTATTTTAAACATCAATAGTAAAACTGTCTTGGTTACTCATTTGAAATTCAGCTATTGTACTTAATAATATTGTAGTCAATCAGGAGACTACCACAGCAACCACAAGCTTGTCCATTAATATCCACAAGGGCTATCAATAGAACAGTTGTTCTATTTAACTTTTCTCAGAACTTGATGGAAAATGTTTGAATTAACTAATGAATATTTCATTTATATACATATGATCAAGTCTTACATTTTTTTATGTTCGCATGAGGCCATATTTCATTTAAAATTCACAAATTATGAGCCTTTGACAGTGGCTTCCAAGGTATACTATTATTAAGTTTCAAGATTGATTTTGCACGCAAAACTTTAACCTGTATTTAAAAATCAGAAGTTGAGAGGGTCATACTTCTGTCAAAATCTAGCTAGAGTTACTGGCCTTGGAAAATGACCATTTTTATGATCCCAAAAAGTGTGGAAAGTCTTTAACACATGAAAAAATGCGGATTTCAAACCAAGGTGAAGTGCAAGCCATTAGTTGCACGAAAAACATTAAGATGTTTCACTGATGAAGATATTCCAGGTGTAAAGGAAAGCCTCATTTTTTTCAAATAGTTAAGCTAAAAATAAAAGCTGCAGTGTAGATCATCAATGAATTTATTTCATACCTCTAAGTCTTGATTTTCAAAACAATGTGTAATATGAAATTACAAATACAATATTTTATTGATTTAACACACATGTATAACCACAGTCCTAAATATAAATAAAAATATCAAGGTTTGATCACATAAACATAACAAAAATAAGAGTACATGCTTGTAAGCTGGCTGTAAGGTCAATCACAATCACAGGGATAAATTGACAAATATTTTTCTTCCTATGAAGTTAACATCCTAAGTCAATAGTAAAAATAGAAAAAACAGCAAGATCAAACTTGACCAACTGAGCAGTGGCTATGCTTTCATGACTGTTCTGCTAGGCGCTGTGCCGTAATTGGACTGGCATATCGATGTGGTGGTATGTGTGTATATATTCTCTCATTTCTTAGTCCAACTAATTAGACTTGTCACAGAGACACCGAGATAATTTGTGACGGGCGCTGTCTTTTTCCAAGTCCAACCACGAACTGCATTTTTATGCACGGACGCTTCCCAATTAGAAGTTGTTGGGAGCGAAAACTAAAAAAGTTTCAAAGAAACGGTCTACATTACCTGAAAGAGAACCGTTTTTATGCAAGGTTCCAAGTTATCATACTTCAAAGTCGAACAGAAGTCTAAATATTTCACTTTAACTTTTTAAATCGTTGAAAATTATTGAAAGCGGCCATATTGGAAAATGACGCAAGCGGTGACATGGTAAAATTGTAAAATTTCCATTGTGTAATTATTGCAGGATTAACTCTTTTATTCACACACGAATATTTCAGCGTTAAAAATAAAATGTGAAAAGGAAATTCTGATAACGTTACTTAGAAATTAAATAGTTTGTGATGTCCGACGTCAGATCATACAGCATTTTAAAAGTCCATTTAAATTGTCAAATTAGAAATTGTAAAGTCGGATTTTTTAACATCTGTGACCATTAAGTGAAATTTCGGAACTGCCTTTTTATTTTATAACCCTGCCATGATTTCGCACATATGAAAAAACAATGTAATTTTAGGTACATCTTAATGAATTATAATTATACTATACATGATGAAGCAAAGAAGAATTTCAATTTATATTAAAGTCCATATCAATTTCTAGTTTATTATCTTTAAAAAAAATTGAGGACAGTTGTGTAGCTCTAGCTCTAAGAAGATTTTTTTATGTTTTTACTATACACATATAGGCAAAAACAATGACCCCCGGGGCGGGCCAATTTTAAACCCCAGGGCCCTTATTTAAACAAAAATGGTAGACACCCATT